ATTTACCAAGGAAGTAAACTCAAGCAGATAGATCGTAGTTGACCGTTTCTTTACGAATCCATGTTGAACAGGGGAAACAACTGATTTGCAGAAATGCTGCAAATTCGAAGTGATTATTTTTTCAAATAATTTAGGAATAGCGGACAGTTTTGTTATAAAAGAAGAAGTTTTGTTATAAAAGGATCGTTAAACTCTTTAGACCATCGTTTAATGAATCCAAGTACACATTTTGCCTCATTTCCGATGGTATCTATGTGAAGATTGAAACAGAGTTTAGAATCAAAAATAACGCCTAGACCCTTAACTGTTAGTATACGTTGCAAAGCGATATTGTCGATTGTTTAACTGACAAGATAAGGTGTAGTACGATTAAATGTCATAAACATACACTTTGAACAATTTAGATGCAATTGATTGGCCGAACACCATAGTTGCATAGCGTTCAAATCGTCTTATAGACGAGAATGATGTAGGGGATTAGTGTATGATAGAAAAAGTTTGACATCGTCCGCATACATGAGTACACGGGCATGTGATATAACAGAGGGGAGATCATTTATAATAAGAGTAAGGAGTAAAGGTCCAAGATGACTACCTTGAGGAACACCAGAAGTAACGTGAACCCGCTTAGAGGTAGTCAGCCTGAGCATTACTCTTTGGGTCCTACCTTTTAAATAAGAATTAATCCAAAGCAAAAGAGACAGGGGGAAACCGATTCGGTCAAGTTTAATAAGTAAAATGTCATGGTGCACAGAGTCAAACGCCTTACTGAAGTCAGTGTAAATAACATCAGTTTGCATTTTCGAAAGGAAAGCATCATTTACCAAGGAAGTAGTCGTAGTTGACCGATGCTTTGCGATTCCATGTTGAACAGGGGAACAACTGATTTCCAGAAATGCTGCAAATTCGAAGTGATTATTTTTTCAAATAATTTAGGAATAGCGGACAGTTTTGCAATGCCCCTGTAATTTCGTATATCAGACTTCCCACCTTTTTTGTGAAGAGGAATGATATAAGATTCTTTCCAAAGAGATGGAAAGACAGAAGTTTCAAGGGATAGATTAAAAAGCTTTAGCAATGGATAAAGAAGGGAAGAACTACACTCCTTGAGTAGACAACTAGGAATATTGTCCTGCTCAGGAGAGTAAGAATATTTTAAAGAGTTTATAGCTAATAGGAGAGAGGAGTGTGAAATAATGGGAGGAGGTATAGAACTAGCGGAAGAAATAGTATAAGGGTAAGAATTAGTATTAGGACAGACGGAAGAGTAAGTTGATTGGAAAAAATTAGCAAAGAGGTTAGCAGAATCAGTGTCATTGTTAGCTTTATCCAAGCCAAGAAAAAAGAAGATGGCAAACTTGAAGATTTACGCTTCAAGTTTACAAAATTATAAAACTGTCTCGGATTTTGGGCAAATTGCCTTTTACAATGAGTTAAATAATTCTCATAGCATTGAGAATTAAGAAGAAAGAAGTTCGACTTGGCTATGGAATATTTAGCCAAGTCTGTACACGAACCAGACTTATTAAACTTTTTAAACTATTTAGATTTTACATTTTTTTAGATGTGATAATCTGGGAATTACTAACAAGCCACTTTATATGTCAACTAGGCTATCATTATCAAATACTGAAAAATCTGTAATTTCTTCAACAATATGACGACCCTTATAATCTAAATCTCGAATGGTAACTACCCATAAATTATTAATTTTTCTATCTGGTCTGTTCTGGGGCGGTAATGATGTCTAAGCCTGATCTTGCATGTATCACAATCTTCTGGTGGTTTAATGTTTAAAATTGTTCTCGCCTGACCTTGAATTTTGGTGTTGAATATGACGCTGAATGCACTGTTTCCATACTCCTGCATAACCTGGTCCACCGATGCAATAAAGCCATGTAGAGTCTAGTGAACAAAGTTAAGTATCTTGTTTCTTATTTAATGCTGTTTCGTTCCTTCGTTATTGGATTGGTATGGTCCTGCTGCTGCTGCTGCTCCAGTATTATTTATGTTAATGCTTGAATGCATTCATGCATTGTTGTTATATCGCGTTGATTTTCCATATTGTTTTATTTGCTATACCCTTGCAGAGAGTATTATAATTTTGTCGTGAAATGTGTAACGTATAGAAGGAGACATCTCCGACCCCATAAAGTATATATATAGACGATATAGCCATGTCCGTCTGTCCGTCTGTCCGACTGTCCGTTTCTATGCATACCAGTCCCTCAGTTTTAAAGCTATCTTAATGAAACTTTGCGGAAGTGCCTTTTTCTGTTGAACGCAGCACATATCTCAAAACCACTATAACATACAGCTGCTATCTTGACCAAACTTGGCATTTATTAATTTTACTATACTCATTATATATAGGTAATATACTATTAAGATCGGACCACTATATCATATAGCTGCCATAGGGACGATCAGTCGCATTCTTGTATGAAAAATAATTTGGTTTTCAAGAAATCTTGACCAAACTCGGCATTCATTAGTTTTATTACACACCCCATATATATGCAAAATCCTATTAAGATCGGTAGACTATATCATATAGCTGCCTTAGGAACGACCGGTCGAAAATTAAGTTGTTATATGGACAAATTTTTTGTTTTTAACGATATATTGTCCAAACTCGGCATTTATAAGTTTAACTATGCTAAGAGCGATCGGTCGAAAACCAGGTTTTTGAATAAAAACTTTTTTGGTTATCAATATATCTTGACCAAACTCGGCATTTACTATTCCCGGTACTTCTTAGATACGAGCAAAGCACTATGAGCATTATGAAAACGTTTGGCCTGTAAGGGTATTAGATCTTCGGTGTGCCCTTCTTTCTCGTTTTTTATTATTTCCGACACCGGCTGCGCCAATTATATATGTTTTAGATGTAAACCAACACTCGATAATGCAACACTCGAATTTAACTTTTAATTTTGCGTTTATTCGTACTGGTTAGTTCTGTGGTTTTCTTACAACTGAATTATAAGTCTACGACAAAAGAGTGCAACGGCTCAGTTGGCGATTTGGGGCTATTGTTTATAGGGAGCGCCAAGCAGAGAAGCTGCAGAGAGCAACTGAGGCTTTGTTTTATGTTTACATTAATGCATCGGAGCGGCATAGCCACTTATGGTTTTTTGTTTACAATATGAGCCTTTAGCAGAAATGCTGCGAGGCTCTGGGCTGATCGATTCGGAATTGTTTATATAAAGTGGTCACAATCAGTGAAGCTGTTGGGGCGACCTAACCGAATTAATTATGGGATCTATTTCAAAACAAGTTGCGTCGTATTTATTGTCAAAATATTTTATGACACTTCGATCTTTAAAAGTTGGATTGTGCTGCGGATATAGGGCTTGCAAGCTCAACTGGTTTGAACTCGACATTATATTGTTGTGAATGGGGTGGTGACGTCAAGGGCGTAACTCGCGCATGAATGTGTATGCAGAAATTCTTGGAATTTGCGGTTGCTGCGGCTAACACGTAAGCAATCAAAACATTTTGTCCTTAACCAATCTTAATGATATTTTCTACAGTATATCTTATTATGCCATAGAATATTTGGGTATTCTCAAAAAGTCAATTGCATTTAAATTGTGGCTTAAATTGATGTACATTACAAGTTTGGTTATTAACTTGATTTATAGCTCTGTGGTGGTAGCGGGAGGTGGCGATAGGTATAACATGAAAGTAACTTGATATAAATATAACATAAGAAGTTTGGTGACACTAGCTTTCAATATTTACCCAATTAGCCAAAAAAACAGGATGTCGATATCGATTTTTATCGTTTGGTGGAAACTGGGCAAGTTATCGATTATCGGAAACAAACTCGATCTGCGCATGCACAAGGAGGACCTACAGCTAAAGTCTCGTAGGTTCTGATATCTTTGCGTTCATACATACGGACAGACGGACAGGCTGATAGACGGACATGGCTAGATCGACTCGGCTATTGATGCTTATCAAGAATATATATACTTTATGCGGCCGGAAATGCTTCCTTCTACCTGTTACATACATATACATTTGCAGAATCACATTATACCCGTTTTACCCATTTTTAATGGGTTCAGGGTATAAAAAGGAAGCCAACGACCAAAATACTAACAAATACACGATATACTAAACCTAAAAATACATGACTAACGGTAGTCCAGGCCACAATTTTTCACAACACCCTCCAGGTAGATAGATACCAAATCAATCGTACAACCGTATACGAGAAAATGCTAGTGGTTCCCCAAAAATGCAGGTTGATAAAAATTATTAACAATCAGACAACTATGGGGGTAATTATATACAAGTAGAGTATGGTTGTCAGAACAACCAATATGATTTGGGATATTAACTTGATTTATAGCTCTGTAGTGGTAACTGGGAAGTGGCGATAGGTATAAAATTAATGATACTTGATATATATATCAAATTCTAGAAGCCACATATCAAGCGATCTGCGCATGCGCTTGGAGGACCTACAGCTTAAATTTCGACTCGGCTGTTGTAACTGATCAAGAATGTATATACTTTATGCGGTCGGAAATATTTCCTTCTGCCTACATACATTTTCCCAAATATATTATACCCTTCTTATCCATTTTCAATGGGATGAGCCGAATCCTGAATGGCAAGAACCATTCAACTACAAATAATCGAATGCTACATCTGTATGCCAAAGGTTGCTCATGGTACACCGGCGAGATGTCTTTATGGTGTAAGCTATTTAACCGAAATATGCTAATCGCGACTGTGGTTCTTCTTTGGTGTCTCTCTGTATGAAGAAAATTTGTTCGTTGGTGTTCATACTGGCAAGTAAAGCTAAAAATTTTCTCTCACATCTATTAGGGCCAAATAAATTTATAAAATCTAGAATGCTAGAGATGTTTAATCCAAACAGCATTTGATTAATTCCCACCACGGTCTTCTAATACGAAACTTAGGATCCATTACAATGGAAATTTCCATTTACTTGGGCGAGCTTATTTAAAAATGATACTTACTTGGAACATATTTGGTGAAGTTGCAGACGAGAAATTAATAGATTTGGATAGATGCTCCTCGGGGTCGTAACGGCCCATGTAAGCAGTTATCATTACAGTTTTGGCAGTTCCCTGTTCTCCAATAAGCAGTACTTGTTTGAGCTGCATTGAACTGTTATGTATGAGAAAAGCTGTGCGTACATTGTCCACGTTGGGTACTAAAATTGAAGCGAATTCTGGAATCTCATCCTCTGGAAAATTAAATACATCAACACGCGAGTTCCAGTGTTGCCAACTTCCGTTGTCATCTACATAGTATTCAAAAATTGTTTCAGTCAACCCCCGTTTTGGCCAAACTATTCAAAAATAATATATAAAACATGTTTTTTTTACAATTAAATATTAACGTACGTAATTTTGAAGGATGTTTTAAAAGATATTCTTCAAACTTTTCACGTTCAGATAGTTCTAAAACTGCTCCAAGCGACCACATCATTGCAAATAAAAACATGCGTTCAAGAGCTTTTTCACTGCGAGAAGATATTTCAATCAAAAGTCCATCCATAATGTCTAACATTTGTCGAATATAAATAGCTTCTAGTATGCGCATTTTCGCTACAAGCCTAGTCTGCAAGAAGGTATGCGCATCATCATATATTGCATCATAACATCGTCTATAAATTTCTTGATCATCGCTATGAGTCATCAACCAGGCCTCCATATAAACTTTCCAACTTAAAACAGAAGAACTTGTAAACACCATGCCAACACGACTGACGGTTGCTGGTGATGCGTTGTCAACGTTATCTGGTTCAAATACTAGTTTAGAATTATCAGCCATTTTTATGCGGTCTCCATTCGCTAAAGTTAGTGTCTTGTTATCATCCAGCACTGAATTCAAGTTTTCTATCCACACGGCATCAACTGGACCATCTAGCACAATCCAACAGTTTTGATGATGCGGAATTTTTAATGAACGTCGCCATAGTGTGGAAAAGATTCCATCTGTCCAGTCATTAGTCGCTACATCCAAACGTCCAAACATTTGTGGAGCTGTAATAGCCTTAGGGTTCATTCTCATTTCTTTATGTGCTCGGCCCATTTTTGTAAAGCAACGAAGCATGCAGAGTGTGCAACTAGTTTTTCCAGATCCTGTTGGGCCCATGAGCATAAGTCCATGACGCACAAGAGAAGTTTCATAAAGTTGTACAACCTTCAAATTCCACTCTGGATTATTGACATAACCTGATTCATCACAAACTTTAACAATAGCCCGTTGTAGATCCTTGTAAACATTCGTTGTTAACTTTATTCCTGGAAACATATCATCAACAAGCGATACGAAGAGTCCTTCGTCTTCGTCAATAAGTTTTGAAACATTCATATCACGTAAAACACGCATTACTATTGTTTCCTCTGTATCAGTTGGGTTGGACCTCTTTTGCGAACCAAGAGTTCTTAGAACCGAAAGTATATTGCGTAGGCCGAAGTCGTAATGCACCTGTTTCGATAATTGTTCCTCGCATAATTTATATAGTGTGAACATTTTTCGAGAAAGTAGAACATTTTCTTTAAAACCACAACTTGCCATTTTAACTCTTATTATGATCTGTCGATCGGGTACCATCATAGCCACCGTTCGAAACATAATCTTAAGATTCTCAGGTAGTTCTTGGCGACCAGCATAACCAGGATTCATAGTAATAAATATTCCAAATTCGGGATTAAGTGTGACGTCATCACCATCTAGGAATATAAACGAAGACCGTTTTTCCTTACGGGCCGTCAGAACAATACTGCGAAAAATAAGTATTACATTTATATGATTTTAGTTTGTTATAACAAGTACTTACTAAATTTGTTGCGCCGCCACTGACAATACAGGTAACTCAATGCGGTTGAATTCGTCAAAGCATCCCCATGAACCAGACTGCGCAAGTCCTTTGTAAATTCGACCCAAGCCACGAAAATCCATCTGATCAGAGCAATTAAAAACGACAACTAATTTACCTAAGGCACGACCCATATCTTTCGTAGTTTCAGTTTTGCCTGTGCCAGCGGGACCCGCTGGTGCTCCACCCATGCACATGCCTACAGCCTGCGCAAGAGTAATATAGCAACGATCAGTCAATGGAGTAATGGCCAGACGTTCAGTAACGCCCAAATATTCATTTTGATAAATAAAATTTACATCCGTAATACCCACAATAACGTCATCGTTGTCTTCGTTGAAATAAAATCGGGCTTGCTTTTGCCACTCAAAGTCACCTGCCGATTTAATGCGTTGTGTACACAACTCATCAAAAATATCGCGCTGATGTACATGAATTGTGACCATAGTCTCAAAACGTATCCGATCAAGTGAGGTTAGATCTCTTACAGTTAAGTCGATGAAAAAGTTAAGTAACACCAAAAATTTATTGTTGGTGCGTTTCATAATAGTCTTGTCGGATCGACATTTCCGTAAAGCGTACTCCGAATCCTTTGTCCATAGTAACTGTACTCCTACAACACCCGCCTGTCCACAAAATGAAGGAAATTCCTCAGCAAAATTAAATTCCGGATCATTCAGACTAATTGCCATTCCGGCAAGAATTGTTCTCATAGTATCTTGCATTTCTTTAAGCAAACGGCCTAGCCAAAGCTCTACGCTCCCGACACACTGCACCGTATTTTCAAATTTAACCTTTTCGTGATTTGACGAGTTCATGCCATCAATTATATCACTTGCCTTTTCCTGGAAGTCAACTGTAGCAATAGCATCAAATATACTTAAAAGATGAGGTTGTATTGACGTAGGATCGGACGCTTGTCCCAATATTTCCAAAAGAACAGGATCTGACACAAAAAAGAATCGTGGGAATAACAGGCGTTTTGATTCTAAATATCCTGTTAAACTTTTTTGGCAAGTTTCTAACTGATCAAATAACCAATTTAAGTTTGTAGCTAATGATTCGTCTCCAGTGCAGCACTCTACTGCATTTGGTATTTCTCGAGCTCGCATCATTATCTTAACATAGCTTTTGTCAATATTTACGAAACGTTTTGCTTCCATAGGTAGTTGCTTTGATATATCACCACCCACAAAAACGGCTTCCAAGTATATCCATAGATTTTGAACCATTAGCCATTTTTCCAGAATGTCACCAGTGCTTACAAGTTTCCAAAGCCACAGTTGTATTTCCTTTTTAAATGGAGCATTATATCTATTGGAGCTTAGCGAGTTCATTATCATTAAGCTATCCTCTATTGAGGCTATAAGTGACAATGTTTCAGTGCCTTTTAGAACAAGTTCTCCTCGATTTCTAAACTGTCCCAATTGTAAATTTAACAAGGCCCAATCAGCAATTATTTGTTTTAATTTTGCTTCTATATCTAATTCTTTGCCAGCCCCGACACAAATATCTTCAACATCTTCTTTATATTTCAAAATCGGTGCATCAAGTAGTTTCCCAAGTGTGAACTTTGGATCGGTTGGGTCAAAGTTAGTCTTGAAAAGTGCATTTAATCGCACCCAGTGACGTTCCTTCATTGCTTTGTTCGTCATTAATTCAAGTAATGGGCATGTCTCATTAAAATCATCTATTTTTGTCTTTAAGTCAATGTACGCAGGCCAAGATTGCATACCTTTTGGAAGCTTTCGACAACGTAACTGAAAATCGGCCAGCTCAGCGCTAATTTTTTCAATATCAACTTCAGCCCAAGGCATTTCATAATAATCTGAAATAGCCTTTAAAACTTGTATATATAATGAATATAGGCGATTAAGATAATTAAATTCTCTTTTACGCTGATGCAGCAGGGGGTATTCCGTTATAGGTAAACCAAAAAGTTTTTCACCACTGCTGTACATTTCAAATTTACGCCAAAGCTCGTCGAAACGATTTTGAAATAGAAATACCCGTTCGCTAGCTTCTTTGGCAGATATTCCTTCAACCATTGGACCATTTGCTTCAAAGTTGCGATTAAACTCATCAAACTCTTGCACAAATATTGCAATACCTTCATTAAGTTCTCTGAGTAATGGTTCCTCCATATCCGCTATACGATCTGACACTTTCTTAGACTAAGGAAAAGAATAATTACATTTTTGTTATGAAAAATCGTTGTCTCAATATACACATATAAATGTATGTATGTGTAAGTTAACGAGGAACCCTCTTTTGACGGTGAACTCGAGGGCAATCATGATGCTGTATAGCAAATAGTTCGGTCAACGCCCTGGTAGCAATTTGCCGTAGCGAAAGCCAAAAAGTCAGTGATCTGGAAGCATATCATCAAAACACACCCAGCTAATCTGTAGTTTATCAAAGAACAACAATAACAATCTGCAAATGGACTTGATACCGGTTGATACCTAATTGGCCACTAACGGGGAAAAAATCGATTAAATTTTTAAATTTTTATAAAGTGGCTAGCCAGCTCTCGAGTAACTTTGGATCGGTTAGAGTCTCAATTTTTATACCCCGAACCCATAAGGGTATATTGTATTTGTACAAAATCCAAATGTATGTAACAGGCAGAAGAAAGCATCTCCGACCCCATAAAGTATATATATTCTTGATCAGCACCAATAGCCTAGTCGATCTAGCCATGTCCGTCTGTCTGTCCGTCTGTCCGTATGTATGAACGCAAGGATCTCAGAACCTTTAAGATCTAAAGACTTAAAATCTTAGATGTAGGTGCTCCTAGTGCCCGCGCAGATAGAGTTTGTTTCCGATAATCGATAGCTTAATCCGTTTCCAAGCAATCGATATCGATATCCTTTTTGGGCAATTTTTGTAAATAATACGAGCTAGAGCCACCAAACATGACATATAGCTTCTAAAATAGAATATATATATGCATTTGATGTTGGAAGAAGAGGGTTCAGTGTATCCTCTAGTCGGGAGCTCCCGATAAAAATCGCTAGTTTTGCATTTAATTCGTAGAAAATTGGTGATAATGAGACACTCGATAGGAGGTATGAACTTGGCTAATCGAGAAGTTCGGCGGAAGAATGGCTTACCACCCAACGACCAAAGAAAACTAACTTATCTGTAGCTAGCAGCAACATTGGTAAGTCGTGTACCATTTGTGCTAGCGCACATGTGTTAAGGGCATGCCCAAAATGTAAAGAATTCATTGCAGCGATTTTGGGAGGTTAAAAGACGTACGCTATGCTTAATATGTTTTACTAAGCGACATATAACGAGGAGCTGCGATAGCCAACGCTATCGCCAGAGGCAGCAAACCTCATCAGTAGCATCGGCAATGAAACATCTCAGATTATTGATGAGGTGAATGCCACTTTCAAATCTAGATTGGCAAGGTTTGCCACCGAAGGGAGTAGCCCTTGCAGATCCGAATCTCCCCAAAGAATTAATATGCTATTGCGAGTTTTTTTATTCTTCAAGCTGATTTTTGCAGGTCAAATCAAACCAAGACAAATATTGCCCACCCTTCAGAAATCGCTATTAGGCTGGGTAGTCGTTGGCGAATTTACACACAGTACTAGCTTGTCGCTGTTAGCCAAGGAGAAGGAGCAAAATATGCTGAAATCTAATGAGCTGCAAGAGCTTGTAACGAACAAAAGGCTCCGGCCTTGCTCACGGCAAGTGGCGGTGGATCTTTGTGTTGATACAAACCAAAATATTAAGTAAATGTGATGCAGTGAAGATGAACTGAGATATTAAGGTCCTTCTTTCTGTACCCGCCCTCCCATGTAGAATAGTAATTCTACCCTACACATGCTTGTGGGGCTGGCTGTTAAAAGGAGCCTTAAAATAAATCTAGCACTGATTCATTTTAGATATTCATCATATAATTCAAAAAGGTATCGTGTTTGTACAACATTTTCTTAGATTAATATGCTCAATATAAATATATTATATAAGAGAAGAATATTCGTTAGACTTCAGGTGATGACAATGTTTACTTAAGTCTAGCAATTGTTTACAATGAACGAGCAAAACAAGACAAAAGGAGAAAAAAAGATATTTGACGGAAGAACAGGTCGGATGAGATGAATGGGAATCGCGACCTGGGACACCGAACATCGACACCGTGCATCGAGCACCTAGCACTTACATCGCACAGAGAGCGAACGAGTGTGAGAGTGTGCATGGTCGTGGTGGTTGGAGGGTGTTGAAGGCAGCTCCACACCACCACGGGTATTCAGACCTACACACGGGCCACTAATCTGCAGAGGTGCGAGTACGTCCACACATTCCACCGTCACACACCGAACCAATCCCCACTCTATACTGCACTATATAGCTGAGGAAGAGCTATCGCAAAAAGTTGTATGTATGCTTATCAGTTGAACTAACAATGCAGGTGCGCTAACACATTTATCCTAACATATGCACGCATGTTTTCTCCGGCTGTGCCGTACTTACACGTCGGCATCCATCGATGTCAGCATGACGTTCATTATGATCTGCTAAATGTGCATTAACTTTTGAATTTGCATATGTTTTATCATTAAATATTGTTAGCGGTGCAAAAACTAAAGTAGACCAAAGTGTAAGTATAAACTTATAAAAAAAAAATATTATAATTTTAATAATTTTATTTACGTGGCGATACTAAAAATTATTTTGCATCTGCCTTCTGCGCGGCAGACGAATTGATTCCTAACATATTTGTGAGTGGCAAGAAACTCGGATCTGGTTATGTCCTAGACATAGAAAAATTTAATTGCCACACTTCTTGATTTTGCACTTGACCAATCATGCAAAATCCAAATGTATGTAACAGGCAGAAGGAAGCTTCTCCGACCCCATAAAGTACATATATTCTTAATCAGCATCGATAGCCGAGTCGATCTAGCCATGTCCGTCCGTCCGTCCGTATGTATGAACGCGAGGATCTCAGAACCTATAAGAGCTAGAGACTTGAAATTTTAGATGTAGGTGCTCCTAGTGCCCGCGCAGATCGAGTTTCATTCCGATAATCGATAACTTACTTCGTTTCCAAGCAATCGATAAGATTCGATATCGATATCCTGTTTTTTGGGCAATTTTGGTAAATAAAAAGAGCTAGAGTCACCAGATGTGACATATAGCTTCTAAAATAGAATATATATATGCATTTCATGTTGGAAGAAGAGGGTTCAGGGTATACCCTAGTCGGGAGCTCCCGACTAGAACCTCTTACTTGTTTTCTCTTGTAGTTTCTATTTTATTTATGTCAATTCTGCAATTAAATAATCTTTATCCTTAAGATATTCAAACAGTAAATTCATATTCTTCTATGGTAAACGCATGAAATGATAATACGTTATATTTCAAGAATCTTTGTGGTGCAATACAGATCTTAGTCGAGCGTCTGCATCCAATAATTGAGCACATGCATGCATGCATGCACTCACTAACGACAAGAGCAACTCAAGGTCCAGGTAAAGAAAGAAAGACATACAAATCACATTCACTTTCAATTAAAAAAAATGTTTATTGCATATTGAAGCTCAACTAAAGAAAAAATCGTAGAAACTTCTGTATCAGAATACAACATCCCACTTAAAAGATGGCGACAATAATTGGCTGACAAGTTCCCACTTCCAAGAATTGCAGATATTCTTGATCAACTAGGACGAGCAAAATATTTTTCATGTCTCGACTTAATGCTGGGTCTTCAAAAAGTTAAACTTGAAACGAGAAAGAAGGGCTATCTTCGGCACGCCGAAGATCTAATACCCTTGGAGGTCCAACCTTGTCATAATGCTCATAGTGCTTTGCCCGTATGTAAGAAGTACCTGGAAAATAGTAAATGCCGAGCTTGGTCAATATATCTTGATAACCAAAAAAGGTTTTAATCAAAAACCTGATTTGCGACTGATCGTTCCAACGTAAATAAGATTTTGCAAAAATGAATGGAGTAAAATCTTTAAATGCCGTGTTTAATCAAAATATCTTGAATGAAAAAAAGGTTTTCCATACAATAACTTAATTTTCGACCGATCGTTCCTATGGCACCTATATGATATAGTGGTTCGGGCTTTGAAGCTTTTTCCTAGGCAATTCTATTTCCTTATCTCCTGCGCAGGATTTTTGTCTACTTTCATATCTGATTGATAACGAATCAGCTACATAATTATCTTTTCCCTTTACATACTATACCGTAAATTATTTTCCTCTAACTAAAGCCTCATACGTGTTAATTTAGAACTTGGATTAACCATTGAAAATAAGAGTATAAGTGGTCTATGATCCCTTTTGACAGTGAAATCTCTCCCTTGGTGAATGATTGGGATGCGTTTGCAACTGGAAGTTGAAGTTCGTTGTGGTTTTGAGTTAAACCCGCTCGCATCCGCATCTCGCAAAATTCCTTTGTTAAGTCTTGGTATTTTAACAGTCGGTTTTATAAGTTGATATTATAAGAATAAAAACGCATTCTGACAATTGAAGTGTGTGCGTAGTGTTTGCCTATTCCCTGTGGATTTGCCTAGTTTGCCTAGTCCCTGTGGATCACCGCTTGTCTTGCACTGCACTCTAAGGGGGGCGTCGTGCACTTCTCGCTTTTGCTGCTTATGCTCGTCGGATGGGGCGTGGACTCTTTCTGAATAAGTGCACTTTCTGTCATTATGAAAAGGGGAAAGGGTGAATCTGTAGGTTCCACTAGAACGAATAAAAAACTGTCAAACTGATAATACTCTCTACCCACCCGGCCTTGGCGGCACCTATAAGCTGTCTTGGGCCACCCCTAATTAAAGATCACTTTCGTTCTATTGATTATGCATGATAGCGTTCATGTCGTAGCGGCGACGAACTCGTCGAAGAGATTAAACGTTTATATTCATTAAACATCTGACAAAGTATTCATTTATTTCATTGCAAATTCTTGTAATTAATTGTGACTTCATATCTTTATTAATTGATTATAGCAAAATAGAAAATAAAGAGAAAGGAATCTGAATTTAATAAACACAAAAAGAAAGAATAGCTGTATTGCCCATACGAACTACAAACTATGCCTGTACTTGCCAGGCATTTAATGACTCACATACATGTGCTGTGCTCGTTGAGTCCATCGATGCAGAAGCAGAAGCAGAGTGCTGTAGATACGGATTAAAACATATATATG